TTCAGGCTGGCGGGTGACTGAAACTCCCAACCTCTCCTTTTTTTCTTTTTTTTTTTTTATTCTGGGATTTGTTTACCTTCTATGGCTGTCACTGGAGCTGAGAGCCAGCTTTAGCTCTGAGGCTCAGCTCAGCTCTGAGACCTCAGCTGCTGAAAGCAGGTATCTGAGCTTTGTTTAGCTTCTATAATTGAAACACTGTTGCAACTCCAGCTCTGAGACCCAGCTGGCTGAAAGCAGATTTCTGGGGATTGTTTAGCTTCTATAATTGCAACATTGCTTCTTAGAGTGCAGCTCAGAGGCCGGCAGCAGCAGGCGGGGAACCTGGCTTCCGACGTCACTGAAGCAAGCAAGCCTCCCTGTTCGCGTCAGCTGCCTGGCTGCTGGCCGCCATCTTGGTTGGCAGTTAATTTGCATATCTCAGTGATTAGCCAATGGGAAGGGTAGCGGAGGTATGGCTAATTACCATGTTTCTCTTTTATTAAATAAAGAATGGTTAATATTAGACGTGCACGCTATAAAAAGAACAAAGCTGTTGGGCTTAGGTTGAAAGGGAGTATTAAAATGTGCATCTGTGCTAATAAAAGGGCTAATTTCACCTCAGGCACCCAGAAAACCATGGGTATTTACTGTGCCGGGCATCCTGCCGGGGGTGAGGGGGGAAGACAGAGCGGGACATGGCCTTCCAGCCCTCCGGGGAGACAGACACACCCTGAGCGGCCCATCTGCGTTGAGAGCTCTCCATGCTAAGCACTGCGCCTATATCAGATGGACAAGCCCTCGCAGCAGCTCTGAGAAATAGGCCATGTCATTATTCCCACTGTAAGTCAGAGCACTGAGGATGGGGCCGACTGTCCCAGCATCGGGGCGAGCGCGTAGCGGCGCTGGGATCTGAACCCTGACAGCGTTGCTCCTGAAGCTCTGAACAGAAACAAAACACGTTTCACGACCTCGCTCCGTGTTTGGTGCCTGTCCGGTCTGTGGGTAATTTGGGAGGAAGGGGCCCTGTGTCAGTTAGCTATTGCCGTAGTAACGCCGCGTAGCACACTGTCTACAAACTCCCTGGCTTCAGACATGAGCACGCCTTGAGCCAGCTGTGACGGCCTGTTCATCTGCGTAGGGCCTGCCCTTAGAATTCTCCTTGTCTCTGGGCAGCTCTCTCACATGCCTGGTGGCCAGCTGGCCGACCTAGGGCAGCGTCACCTCTGTTCCATGTGCCTCATGCATCTGTGCTAATAAAAGGGCTAATTTCACCGCAGGCACCCAGAAAACCATGGGTATTTACTGTGCCGGGCATCCTGCCGGGGGTGAGGGGGGAAGACGGAGCGGGACATGGCCTTCCAGCCCTCCGGGGAGACAGACACACCCTGAGCGGCCCATCTGCGTTGAGAGCTCTCCATGCTAAGCACTGCGCCTATATCAGATGGACAAGCCCTCGCAGCAGCTCTGAGAAATAGGCCATGTCATTATTCCCACTGTAAGTCAGAGCACTGAGGATGGGTCCGCCTGGCCCAGCATCGGGGCGAGCACGTAGCGGCGCTGGGATCTGAACCCTGACAGCGTTGCTCCGGAAGCTCTGAACATAAACAAAACACGTTTCACGACCTCACTCCGTGTTTGGTGCCTGTCCAGTCTGTGGGTAATTTGGGAGGAAGGGGCCCTGTGGCAGTTAGCTATTGCCGTAATAACGCCGCGTAGCACACCGTCTACAAACTCCCTGGCTTAAGACATTAGCACGCGTTGGGCCAGCTGTGACGTCCTGTTCATCTGCGTAGGGCCTGCCCTTAGAATTCTCCTTGTCTCTGGGCAGCTCTCTCACATGCCTGGTGGCCAGCTGGCCGACCTAGGGCAGCGTCACCTCTGTTCCATGTGCCTCAGCCCCCAGCAGGCTACTGGGCACCTTCCCTGGTGAGCACTGAGGTCCCAGAGAAGAAGTGAAAAACAAGCAGTTTCTCAAGCTTCAAATCAGCTCAAATCCTATTGGCCAAAATAAGTCACATGGTCAAGTCAGAGTGGGCGGGGCTACACAGTTATAGAGGGAAGGACATAGATGTGGGAGGCCGTGGCTGGGGGCCATCAGTACCATCCATCCATCTGTGTCCAAGGCCCCTGCCAGGCTTTCCCACCCCCACCCGCCCCCAGGTCAGAGTGGCCGGGGCCTCAGTCCCAGCCAGGTCTGATTTATTCGTGCCGCTGTTGTCAGTTGAGGGGAAGCTTCCAGCACCTAAAAATGGGGTAAGAACCCACATGTCCACTGTGGGGGGAGGGGTTTACTGGATTGAATAGAAGTGAAATACCAGCATAGGATAGGGGATGTGAGAAGGCAGGGGTGGGGGACGTCCCGCCAGAGGGCCATACAAGGCCCGCAAAACCGTTTGGTCTGGCCCTGCCAAGGTAACCACAGGCGGGCCTCGAAATTCAATGAAGATAGGAGCTTTGTTCATAGCCGCATACATTTACATTAAGTGAATCGTAGTAAGCAAATGACATCACTCATTGGCCACTCCTCGCACTTACCCATAGTGAACGCGGGAAGTGCTAGGTCACAGCTACGGGAGCGACTTCCTGAGGCAGGTTCCAGTTCACTTCCTGAAGCGACACCACGCCCTCGTTGGCCGCCTTCTTGGAGAATCTGGAGCAAGTTTAACGGCCTTTTTCTTCTTGCTCCTGAAGAAGAGCATTTCCCCTGCCCCGCGGCTCAGAGCAGTGTGGTTGAGGCTGACGCCCACGGTGAAGGCCATGTGCTGTCCCCGGAGCCGTGGCGGCCCCTGTGCCTGGGGGAGGATGTGTCTCACAGCTGACCATCTGCATCTGCCCTTTACGTTGCACCCACCATCCGGTTATGATGCCCGCAGGGTTCTGACCAGTCAGCCCACCTTCACGCACCCACCGCAGGCCTGCGCAGTTCAGGTCTGGGCGAAAACATGACAGGCTCGCCGAGGCCGGAAATTTGCTGCGTTCAGCATGGGAAAGGCCGAGGTCGCTTGGGTTAGTCTGAATCCTGGGAAGCTGAGCTCTGAGACCGTCTCCCCAGGTGTCTGCATTTCAGGGGGCATGGGGCAGGGGCCCAGAGGTCCTCCTGCCAATCATGGAACTGGCTGCCCGGCATCCTTCCATGTCCAGTGAGGTGAGCGCAGAGGCAAACTGGAGGTTCTCTGTGCTGTCTGTGAGGAGCGCTCCCTGTGCGTGAAGTTAGTGTGTTACATAAAGCGCAGTCACTCCGGCAGCGCCGTGAGGCAGGGTTGACTGCAAACTGTTCGTCTGCCCCGCGTAGAGACGGGACTTGAACCCGGGGCGCACTTGGCTTTGCACTCGGGCACTCGGGAAGTCCTGGTTCTCGCCCCCTCTTCTCCTGGCCGGCCCGGTGACCCTGGGCAAGTCGCCGCACGCTCAGGGGCTTTGTTTTCCTATTTTTATGCGCCATGGTCTCAGAGGCCCCTGCCAGCTCTGTCCCTGACAAGGTGTGTGTCTGGGTGGTGGGACCGTCAGCCTGCTCTCGGCTGACCGTCCCTGCCCGTCCCTGTGCGCAGCCTTCCGGACGTTCCTGGGCAAGGAGGACGTGTCCCGAGAGGTGGAGGAGGCCCTGGCCGAGGGCCGCATGCAGAGGAACATCCACCTGGTGTCCGCGCTGGAGCTGCTCAGGACCCCCTTCGTCCGCTGGCAGGTCATCACCGTGGTGGTCACCATGGCCTGCTACCAGCTCTGCGGCCTCAACGCGGTGAGCGTCCCGCACAGTCGGAGGGACGGAGGGAGGAGAGGGGTGGGGTGGGTCAGGCTCGGGCCCTGGATGCCCAGGTTCCAGCCCCAGCTCTGCGCCATTGGGCAACCACATCATCTGACCCTCAGTTTCCTCATCTGTAAAATGGGACGACATAACACTGAAAGAAAGAATCCACGCGGAGTGCTCGGTGCAGCAGCTGGTGGATTCATCCCTCAATACAGGCTGCCCATCCCTGTAATTACTTATCCCTGGAAATGCTTAAAAGTCATATTTCTTCATAAAACGGGAATTAGGAAGTCATAAGGAAGAAACACATAGATGATTTAAGTAAAGTGCTTGTAGCCGGGCTGGCTTCAGTGGGCGACTTTGGCCTGAGAAAACCTCAAGGCTTTAAAGGGTACGTTTTCTGGGGCCTGAGCTGACGTAGGTGGGGAGGTGGGAGGAGGTAGTCCCCCCATGGAGCCCCCCAGCCCTCCGATGAGCTCAGCCACCCCTCGCCTGCTCCAGAATTAGAATCTGGGAATTTGAGGACAGGGAGGCTGACGTGAGATCATCATCATTATTGTTGCTTTTGGCAAACAGTGGGTTGCTGCCAGGGGTGGTGAGCTCCCCGTTCATGAAGGTGTGCAAGTCAGCAGGCCAGCCACGTGGCAGGGGTGTGTAGAGGAGATTTTGCACTGAAGCACCAGCTGCCCTCTGGGGTCACTTACGTGCTCAGGAGAGCTGTGGCCGGGCCCAGAGGCGACCTTCCAAGGAGCCTAGGTAAACAGCTCCTCTTGTTTGCACAGAATGGCCATGAGCCAGCCCCCCAGCCCCCAGAGCCAGCAGGGAGGGTTTGGGGTGTTTAGGGCAGGTGATATGGAAAGGCAGTGGTTCCCATCCGGAGAGGGGAGAATGGCAGCATAGAAAGTTACAGCCAGGGTGGCTTTACCTGTTTCTTGGTTGAAGTCAGCAGAATAGGGAGGGGCTAGGTCACCGGTGTGACCTTGGACCAGTCCTGCTGTTACCTCCTCTTTACAAGATCAAGGTCATGCCCCAGGGTTTCAGAGCTGCCCCTCCCCACCTGAGACAGCAGAGAGGGAGAATGAATCCGTTTCTTAACGCTCAGACTTGGACTCGAAGAAGCCACAGACGGGATCTGTATTTGGTGAGGCATTCAGATGGAGAATCAGGGTATTTCTAAGCAGCGCTCTCTCCTCCGTTCAGACGTAGTTTTCTGATTTGCATGCCCTGTGTAACTGCATAAACTCCACTAGGGCGCAGCTGTAGGCCCCACAGCGTGAGCATAGGTGGGAAGCAGCTTGTCTCCCCCCGAGTCAGCAGTGGGAGAACCCCGCTTCGGAATGTGCGCCCCTCGCACTCATCGCCTTTCATGGATGTTTTATTGATGTGAGAATCTTCCATGTGAGATCCACCCTCTTAGGAAATGTTTGACTTTACCGTGTGATATTACCTACAGGCTCAATGTGCAGCGATTGTTAGAATTCTGTCACCTTCCAGAACTGAAACTTTACACTGAACACATTTCCCCTGCTCTGAACCCCCGGCAACCACCGTTCTATTCTCGCTTCTATGGGTTTGACTATTTCAGATATCCTATATAATAAAGAGCTAATATGCAAATGGTCATCACGCCCTCGCACCCTCCTGCCCTGGCACCCTCATGCCGGGGCCGGGGGACCTGAGGCTGCGCCCCCTGCCCAGTGGGGCTTGATGGGGGACCTGAGGCTGTGTCCCCGCCACCCCTTGCAGGGCTTGATGGGGGTGGGGCCGACTGGGTCTGGGTCTTGCGCGATTTCGAGGCACGCATGGGTGGACGGAGACTTGACTCTGGGTCCCATGGTGTGCCCCAGACTCTGACAGGAGGGAGTTTTCATATACGTTTTACTAATTGTCTTTCATCTCTGACACTTCTATTATAGAGAAAGGGCAAATAGCAATATTAAAATATTTCCTCAAATTAATTCCCTTATAATGTGCACGAATTTTGTGCACTGGGCCACTAGTTTCATATAAGTGGACTCGGGCAGTACCTGTCCTTCTGTGACTGGCTTTATTCCACTTAGAGGAACGTCCTCCAGGCTTCATTCCACTTAGGGGAACATCCTCCATGATGTCACATCCTGCAGGATTCCCTTCTTTTTCAAGGCTGACCAATATCCCATTGTATGTATTGGCTGCATTTCCTTACCCATTCCTCTATCGATAAACCTTTAGGTTATTCCCACATCTTGGCTATTGGGAATAATGTTTTGTTGAACACAGGAGTGCCAATATCTCCTTGAGATCCTGCTTTCAACCCTTTGGAATAATTACCCAAACATGGATTCGCTGGATCAGATGGTAGTTCTAGTTTTAATCTGTTGAGAACCTTTCATACTGTTTTCCATGGTGTTGCACAAAATTTACATTCCTACCAACACTATGCAAGTGTTTCCATTTCTCTGTATCCTCACCAACATTTGTTATTCCTTTTTTAAAAATAAGCCCCAGACTCTGACAGGAGGGAGATTTTCATATACATTTTACTAATTTTCTTTCATCTCTGACACTTCTATTATAGAGAAAGGGCAAATAGCAATATTAAAATATTTCCTCTAATTAATTCCCTTTTAATGTGCACGAATTTTGTGCACTGGGCCACTAGTTTCATATAAGTGGACTCGGGCAGTACCTGTCCTTCTGTGACTGGCTTTATTCCACTTAGAGGAACGTCCTCCAGGCTTCATTCCACTTAGGGGAACATCCTCCATGATGTCACATGCTGCAGGATTCCCTTCTTTTTCAAGGCTGACCAATATCCCATTGTATGTATTGGCTGCATTTCCTTACCCATTGATCTATCGATAAACCTTTAGGTTATTCCCACATCTTGGCTATTGGGAATAATGTTTTGTTGAACACAGGAGTGCCAATATCTCTTTGAGATCCAGCTTTCAACCCTTTGGAATAATTACCCAAACGTGGACTCGCTGCATCAGATGATAGTTCTGGTTTTAATCTGTTGAGAACCTTTCATACTGTTTTCCATGGTGGTTGCACAAATTTACATTCCTACCAACACTATGCAAGTGTTTCCATTTCTCTGTATCCTCACCAACATTTGTTATTCCTTTTTTAAAAATAATAACAGCCATCCTAACAGGCGTGAGGTAGTATCTTGCATTTTCTTTATCCATTTGTCCATCGATAAACCTTTAGGTTATTCCCACATCTTGGCTATTGGGAATAATGTTTTGTTGAGCACAGGAGTGCCAATATCTCTTTGAGCTCCTGCTTTCAACGCTTTGGGATAAATACCCAGAATTCCTTGAAGCGCTGCTAACACTTCTTTGACAGTCCATTGCCACACTTAGCCAAGCCCCTGTCACTCCTAGTCTGTTAGTATGAAGAGGGGGAAATGATCGAGATCTGTTGGTATGAAGAGGGGGAATGAGGGAGGTCTGTTGGTAGGAAGAGGGGGAATGGGGGAGATCTGTTGGTATGAAGAGGGGGAATGAGGGAGATCTGTTGATAGGAAGAGGGGGAATGAGGGAGATCTGTTGGTACGAAGAGGGGGAATGAGGAGGTCTGTTGGTACGAAGAGGGGGAATGAGGGAGGTCTGTTGGTATGAAGGGGGGAATGAGGGAGGTCTGTTGGTATGAAGGGGGGAATGAGGGAGGTCTGTTGGTATGAAGGGGGGAATGAGGGAGGTCTGTTGGTATGAAGGGGGGAATGAGGGAGGTCTGTTGGTATGAAGGGGGGAATGAGGGAGGTCTGTTGGTATGAAGGGGGGAATGAGGGAGGTCTGTTGGTATGAAGGGGGGAATGAGGGAGGTCTGTTGGTATGAAGGGGGGAATGAGGGAGGTCTGTTGGTATGAAGGGGGGAATGAGGGAGGTCTGTTGGTATGAAGGGGGGAATGAGGGAGGTCTGTTGGTATGAAGGGGGGAATGAGGGAGGTCTGTTGGTATGAAGGGGGGAATGAGGGAGGTCTGTTGGTATGAAGGGGGGAATGAGGGAGGTCTGTTGGTATGAAGGGGGGAATGAGGGAGGTCTGTTGGTATGAAGGGGGGAATGAGGGAGGTCTGTTGGTATGAAGGGGGGAATGAGGGAGGTCTGTTGGTATGAAGGGGGGAATGAGGGAGGTCTGTTGGTATGAAGGGGGGAATGAGGGAGGTCTGTTGGTATGAAGGGGGGAATGAGGGAGGTCTGTTGGTATGAAGGGGGGAATGAGGGAGGTCTGTTGGTATGAAGGGGGGAATGAGGGAGGTCTGTTGGTATGAAGGGGGGAATGAGGGAGGTCGTTGGTACGAAGAGGGGGAATGAGGGAGGTCTGTTGGTAGGAAGAGGGGGAATGAGGGAGGTCTGTTGGTAGGAAGAGGGGGAGATGCGGGAGGAGGAAGCCGGTAGTGTGCCCGCCCGTCAGCTGCGCCTGTGACTTGGCTGTGGCAGGAACCTCAGAGGCCACCGTGTGTCGGTGTTAATTTGGGAGGGAGATGACCCTTGCTGACCTCTCCCTTCTTTTCCTTCCTGCCTACAGATTTGGTTCTACACCAACAGCATCTTTGGGAAAGCAGGGATCTCTCCGGAAAAGATCCCCTACATCACCCTGAGCACCGGCGGCATTGAGACTCTGGCTGCCGTGTTCTCTGTAAGTAAATGGACAGTTACCCCCGAGAACTCACAGGGAGTCAGCGGGGCCACGGGAAACCCAGGTCCCGTAGTGGAGGGCGCCCTGGTCCCTCTGAGGGTGTCTGAGTTTGAGGAGTTGATCGGGCCGCCCATCACTGACATCTCACCATCTAGAGCAGCGGTTCTCAACCTGTGGGTCGCAACCCCTTTGGCGGTTGGCGACCCCTTTGGTGGTCGAACGACCCTTTCACAGGGGTCGCCTAAGACCATCCTGCATATCAGATATTTACATTATGATTCATAACAGTAGCAACATTACAGTTATGAAGTAGCAACGAAAATAATTTTATGGTTGGGTCACAACATGAGGAACTGTATTTAAAGGGCCAGAAGGTGAGAACCATTGATCTAGACCAGGGGTCCTCAAACTACGGCCCGCAGGCCACATGCGGCCCCCCGAAAACATTTATCCGGCCTGCCGGGTGTTTTTGCCGCCGCTGCCTGTACTGCTTAGCAGCCGACTCGTCCCGGGCCCGCAGTGAGCATGTGTGGAATGTCTGAGGGACAGTGAACTGGACCCCTGTTTAAAAAGTTTGAGGACCTCTGATCTAGACTCTAGATTCCTAGAGCAGAGGTTCTCAACCTGTGGGTCGCGACCACTTTGGCGGTCAAACGACCCTTTCACAGGGGTCGCCTAAGACCATCCTGCATATCAGATATTTACATGACGATTCATAACAGTAGCAACATTACAGTTATGAAGTAGCAACGAAAATAATTTTATGGTTGGGTCACAACATGAGGAACTGTATTTAAAGGGCCAGAAGGTGGAGAACCGCTGATCTAGAGAATGTCCTCATCTGTGTTTTGCGTCACCATTTTCCTCCTTTAAAAAAATGGCTCCCTCCTTTGAACTCTTACCTCGTCACCAATGACAGCTGCTGCCTCCCTCTGAGGAGGGACGTCTCCCTGGGAGTCCCAGCCAGAGGCCCTGGGAACCTCAGGACTGTGGTCATGACTTTAAAAGTGTTTCAGACCATGAACTGTCATCTTCCCGGCCCAGGTATGTAGGTGTTTGCAAGGCAGAGAGAAGGAGAAAGACATTCCCTTTGGATCGTGCAACACAGAGGGGCTTTAACGATGAGCCACAGTCTAAAACCTGAGAAAGCGCTCGCCACTCTTCCCCAGCCTCCGGGCTGCAAAACAGACATGTGGGGCGGGGCGGTGGGGGCCTGGAGAGTCCCATGTGATGCTGTATAAGGCACTCACCCCCCTGGGCGGTAGCTTCCCCTTTGATGAGCTACTCCTGTCTCCTCTGCCTTGTAGGGGTGCCCTCTCGGCTCAGGGTCCACCATGGGGTTCCTTTCCAGAGGAAAGGGAAGAGGGTTAGAGCGACCTTGTTCTCTGGCCTTGATGGAGCAGCTGATTTCTTCCGCTCGCTCTCTGATGTGTGAGGCAAGGCCGAGGCCGGTGCAAACCAGCAGAGACTCATTTCCACAGAACACTTACTTTTGCTCCTTGGTCTTAACGGGGCGTTTTCACAAGCGGCTTTTGAAAACAGATTCCATGGAAGTGTTGAGACTGGTGTTCTGTCTCCCTCTCCTCCCATTCGCAGTCTTTTTATTAGAGGGAAAATATTCAATATTTCACAAGCGTTTTATAAAATTCTTGTCTCAAGTTACAGACCAGACCCCCTCCCCAAGCTGTTCTTGTTCATTTTTACATGGATCAGCAGAAAAGCACCATCGGGAGAGAAATGATGGGGACATTATAGGGTTTGTTTGGGGGTTTGTCGGGGATTTTGTTGTAACAAGAAATCAACATGAGCTCATTAGGGAAGATTCGTAAAATTCGGAAAAAAATAGAAAGAAACAAAGAAGAAACCACCTACGATCGTGATACCCAAGGCAGTTGGTTGGGCACCGCCCTCCCCTCCCCCAGCCCTTGTCTATTCAGAGATGCATGTCTTATTCCCTCCCCACAGCGACCGACTGTGTTCTCGCCTTAGTCCTGCGTTTGTTCCACAGGCTGATGTCAGAACGATTCCCCACTTTATTGCTTCTTGTTTAGCACGTTTTATGAGAGTGTAACATACACACAGGAAGGGAAGCCGACCATCACCTCTGAACTCCTGTGAAAGCTCCATCCTTCTTCACAACTCGGCAATCCGGCAATTTCCTTATTAACCGTTGTCTGCGCGGTGCGGGGGGCAGTCTCCGCTCGGAGCCTGGGTGGCAGAGCCACCTGCCTGGCTTCTGACCCCAGCTCCGACCCTTTTGAGCTGCGTGACCCCGGGCACGTCATTCCACGGCTCGGTGGCTCGATTTCCCCATTTCTAGAATGAGGACATGGCCCCTGCCTCCTGGGGGTGGGTGAGGATTAAATGAGTGAATACAGAGGAAGCGATGCAAGCCGGGCAGGTGATGGGCACCCAGTCAGCGGTAAGTTCCCACGGCTTGCCTTTCCGACGAGGCTGCGGTGAGCTTTCCGACGAGGCTGCGGTGAGCACCCACTCTCACAATCTTGTTTTGGGGAGGGTTAGAGCGACCTTGTTCTCTGGCCTTGATGGAGCAGCTGATTTCTTCCGCTCGCTCTCTGATGTGTGAGGCAAGGCCGAGGCCGGTGCAAACCAGCAGAGACTCATTTCCACAGAACACTTACTTTTGCTCCTTGGTCTTAACGGGGCGTTTTCACAAGCGGCTTTTGAAAACAGATTCCATGGAAGTGTTGAGACTGGTGTTCTGTCTCCCTCTCCTCCCATTCGCAGTCTTTTTATTAGAGGGAAAATATTCAATATTTCACAAGCGTTTTATAAAATTCTTGTCTCGAGTTACAGACCAGACCCCCTCCCCAAGCTGTTCTTGTTCATTTTTACATGGATCAGCAGAAAAGGGCCATTGGGAAAGGAAATGATGAGGACATTATAGGGTTTGTTTGGGGGTTTGTCAGGGATTTTGTTGTAACAAGAAATCAACATGAGCTCATTAGGGAAGATTCGTAAAATTCGGAAAAAAATAGAAAGAAACAAAGAAGAAACCACCTACGATCGTGATACCCAAGGCAGTTGGTTGGGCACCGCCCTCCCCTCCCCCAGCCCTTGTCTATTCAGAGATGCATGTCTTATTCCCTCCCCACAGCGACCGACTGTGTTCTCGCCTTAGTCCTGCGTTTGTTCCACAGGCTGATGTCAGAACGATTCCCCACTTTATTGCTTCTTGTTTAGCACGTTTTATGAGAGTGTAACATACACACAGGAAGGGAAGCCGACCATCACCTCTGAACTCCTGTGAAAGCTCCATCCTTCTTCACAACTCGGCAATCCGGCAATTTCCTTATTAACCGTTGTCTGCGCGGTGCGGGGGGCAGTCTCCGCTCGGAGCCTGGGTGGCAGAGCCACCTGCCTGGCTTCTGACCCCAGCTCCGACCCTTCTGAGCTGCGTGACCCCGGGCACGTCATTCCACGGCTCGGTGGCTCGATTTCCCCATTTCTAGAATGAGGACATGGCCCCTGCCTCCTGGGGGTGGGTGAGGATTAAATGAGTGAATACAGAGGAAGCGATGCAAGCCGGGCAGGTGATGGGCACCCAGTCAGCGGCGGCGACGCCTGCTCTCAGCAGGTAAGTTCCCACGGCTTGCCTTTCCGACGAGGCTGCGGTGAGCACCCTGGCAGAGAGCAGGCTTTTGTGGGGACTCTCACAATCTTGATAGTTGAGGAACCCTAGTCTCAAAGAAATGACTTACCCAGGGTCACGCAGCCAGGAGGTCAGACCCAGAGGGAGCGGGGAGCTAACATCTGGGGCCCCTGCTGCTCCCCAGGCCCCGGGGGCTCTCCCTGGGGTCGCATGAAGGCCCACATCACTCCTGAAAGTCCAGTTTTCAACCCCGTTCACAAGAGGAGCAAACACAGGACGGGGGGGTGGAGATGCTTCCCACCTCGGTCTCCCCGGAGTCCAGTTTTCAACCCCGTTCACAAGAGGAGCAAACATAGGAGAGGGGGGGGGGCGGTGATGCTTCCCACCTCGGTCTCCCCGACTCCTCCCTCCGCTCCCCACTCTCTGGCTGGCAGATCGTCAACTTTAAAAGCTGACGGCATTCGACAAAGTATTTCTTGGAAGTGTGAGTCCCAGGAAGAGGTCCCTGGCTTCGAATTCCTGGGAAAGGAGGAGGGAAACTGAAACTGGCACCGGCCTCACAGCCTCGGGAGGGCCTGCCTGCTGCTGCCCTGCCATCTGGACCATGTGTGCTGTAGAGGTTTGGGCGCCTCCTTGTGGCCCAGACCTGGGAGGGCCAGCTTCAGTGCCCTGGTGGTGTACGTGTTCATTCACGCACTCATCCGCCCACAGGCAGCTATGGTGCGCCCCACCCTGCTCATGCCAGGGCGTCACCAGTGACATTGTCATGATCTAGAGAGAGACAGACCCAGAAACAGATACGCACCATGTGCCACACTGGGATGAACCCTCCTGTGAGGGATCCCAGGAGGGCTTCCTGGAGGAGGGGCCCGGGAGCCGAGCGCTGAGGGAGCAGGAGTGAGCCTGGCGAAGGGAAGTGAGTGCATTGTGCAGCCTGTCCCCTGGCCCTGTGTGCATGTCCCCAGTCATCTGCCCTCTCCCCACTTTATCTTCTAAAAGAGCTGGAGATGCAGAACAGTCTGTTGCAACGGTTCTCAACCTGTGGGTCGCAACCCCTTTGGCGGTCGAACGACCCTTTCACAGGGGTCGCCTAAGACCATCCTGCATATCAGATATTTACATGACGATTCATCACAGTAGCAACATTACAGTTATGAAGTAGCAACGAAAATAATTTTATGGTTGGGGGTCACAACATGAGGAACTGTATTTAAAGGGCCAGAAGGTTGAGAACCACTTTGGTCCGCAGGCCGACGCTCGATCCACTGAGCCACACTGGCTAGGGCCCTGGTCGGCAAACTGCAGCTCTCGAGCCACATGCGGCTCTTTGGCCCCTTGAGTGTGGCTCTTCCACAAAATACCACGTGCGGGCACGCACGTACAGTGCGATTGAAACTGCGTGGCCCATGCGCAGAAGTCGGTTTTCGGCCTGGGCGAGTCTATTTTGAAGAAGTACTGTTGATATTTGGCTCTGTTGACTAATGAGTTTGCCAACCACTGGGCTAGGGCAAGAGCTTTCTTTAAGAGCTGACTTTTCCCCACGTGCCCCAAATTGAGAACCGTGTAACTTTGTGATCATGAACTTCTTAAGAGGTACCTTTCCTCTCAAAGGGGTAGCAGGTGGGGGTGTTCCCCGTGGGGCGGCAGAGGCCCCAGGGAAGACGATTCCCAGGAGTGAGACCGGGAGGGCCTGGGCTCCGGCAGCCTTGCCTTCCGGCCAGTTGGCCACGCTCCCCGTCTGCGTTTACACTTGGGTTGACATGTCTCCAGGCCGCTTTCGTTTATTATCTTTAGGGTTCATGAACCACCCTGGAATGGTAGTCATTTAAACGTAACTTTTCCACTTCTCATACCTTTGGCCCCAAAAGATATACGGTTCTCACACACATTCTTCTTTTACACAGAAATTTCCAAGCAAAGTTTACGTTTCGAGGAATTATTTTTAAGGTTCAGTTTACAGAGAGCTGTCTCGAGTAGATAATTATTTCCGGGGCCCTGTCCCCTGGTCGCAGACTTTAAAACTCTGTTAACTTGAAAATAACCATGGCCTTCCCAGGTCTCGGCTTCTCCTCAGACAGAGTCCCTGGAAGCAATGATGAACACCTGCATGTTTAAAGCAGCGTCACAGCAGGTGACAGGGATAGGGAAGCAGGCATTTCTCTTGCCATCCGCCTTGGTGTCTTTGCTAAGACAGAGCTGACCAGCAATTGCCGAGCCGTTCCCCTTCTTCCTCCCAGGTGTCCATAGCTCAGGCTTCGGCAATAACCCACTTTTGCCGGGAGAGTCCCTCATGCTGGTGTGGCGACCAGAAGGTGGGACCCCCCAGTGTCAAGGTCAAAGTCAAGGTCAAGGTCAAGGTCAGCTGTTTGGAATACTGGGCGCTGGCCCCCACCTGGGCAGTGTCATCTTGCTCCAGTGTTCGAAGTGTGTTCACGGATGCATGCACGTGTGGGCACGTGTGTGTGTCGCATAGTAGATTTAAAGAAATGGGGACGTGCTGAAACCGGTTTGGCTCAGTGGACAGAGCGTCGGCCTGCGGACTGGAGGGTCCCAGGTTCGATTCCGGTCAAGGGCATGTACCTGGGTTGCGGGCACATCCCCAGTAGGAGATGTGCAGGAGGCGGCTGATCGATGTTTCTCTCTCATCGATGTTTCTAACTCTCTATCCCTCTCCCTTCCTCTCTGTAAAAAATCAATAAAATATATTTTTTTAAAAAGAAAAAAAAGAAATGGGGACAGCCATTGTCATACTGTACCTCTGCCATCCCTGGTCTTCGTGCGTTCCTCCGGGCTGGGCGCTGGCCCAGAGCAAACACCCGGTCCCTCGGTGCTTAATTACGAAAGCCGCCTGGAGGAAGGTGTACCTGCCAACCCAGCCGGTCCCTGAAACTTGGCTACAATCACATTCTTCAGCATCATTGGCGTTTGAAGGCGCTCAGTGACGAGCCCTGCCCCGGCCCCACAGGAAGGCAGGCACAGGGGCTGCGAGTGGGGGTCAGTGACATCCCACGGCCCCAGGAAGCTGGACTGGGGCGCGGCTCCCAGGGCTGCAGTCGCTGGTATCACCCCGAGTGTGGAAAACGGCAGCCCCATGGCCGCCCTGGGTCCTCGCCTCTAAAATCAGCACCGTGGGGGCGGAGAGGAATGGAGAGAGCATGACTCCATGGCAGCCTGGCTCCCGGGTCGGGGGAGGGCAGGGCTGCGGCAGCCACATCCTTTCGGCCCCTCGTCCAGACTCCCCAGCAGATAAGCCCACGCCCCCTAACGAGGGAGATGGGAGGAAAGATGACTGTGTGGATACGCGGGACTGTCTTCCTTCTTCCTTCTCATCAAGGTCATTGCCTCCCTGGGTGCGGCTGTGGAGAGAGTCACCTGCCTGTCCCAGGTCAAAGCCGTCCTTGAGCCATGACCCCGTGCAGTTCCCAGCTCCGCACCCCCTTCCTTGCTGCTAGTAGTAACCATCCCTCTTTGCCCCTCACCTAGGGCTTGGTCATCGAGCGCCTGGGACGGAGGCCCCTGCTCATCGGCGGCTTCGGGCTGATGACCCTCTTCTTTGGGATCCTCACGGTCACGCTGACGCTGCAGGTGAGAGCACGTGCCTGTCCCCCCCTCAGGAGCTCGGCGTGGAGCTGGCTCTCGGCTTCGGTGCCCGGGGCCTTGGGCTTGGGCAGGTGGCACTGTCTGCAGACATGGCTCCCCCAAGGGCATCTCAGCCCTGAAGTCGCTGGGAGAGGCTTGAGGTGTGGGGCCTGAGCCTGGGAGACCAGCGACCTGATGAGCTGTGTGACCTTGGGGGTTATATCCCCTCTCTAGGGGCTCTGGGGCCAGCCCACCTGGGTGTGAATCCCCGCTGTCCCACTTCCTCGCACAAAACTTTCGGCAACTCGACCTTTCTGCTCCTCGTGTCTGTAAAGTAGGCGCTGGAATGGCTTGGGGGTTATCATTACCCCCATTTTCTGGACGCTGAAACGGGACCCATAGATATAAAGTGACCTTTACAAGGTCAAAGACGTCCTTTAACCATGACCCTGTGCCGGTCCCCAGCCCCCCAACCCCCTTCCCTTGCTAGTAAGGCCTGAGGTCACACAGATGGATGGAGGAGGGGCTGGGGCTGGAATGGAGTGTACCTGCCTCCTCACCTGCCCCGCTGCTGCTCCCTCGCAGGACCACGCCCCCTGGATCCCTTACCTGAGCATCGTCTGCATCCTGGCCATCATTGCGTCCTTCTGCAGCGGCCCAGGTAGGGCGCCCCCTTCTGCACCAGCTGGCCCAGGGCTCCTGGCACCACCACGGAAGTCAGGGGCTCAGGGAGGGGCCGGGCCTGATTGGGGATGGAGGGGGAAGAGAGAGTTCCCAGCCATTCAAGTTCAGTGACGGCCTTCATTTCCATCCCACAGATGGTGGGCAATGTGCCGCCCAAAGACACATTAGTTATAACATACAACGACTCGCGGCTGTGAGGGCGTGAGGCAGGCACACGAGTTTGGGATGAATTAATGATACTCAAGGTGCGGTCTGTGGCCACCCACAGACGAGTTACAGTTCCATGCGGAAGATATGATGATGATGATAACAGTGGCCATGGCTAAGATTTATTGATCACTGACCACATGCTATACTTAGCTCATGCAAGGCCCGTGGCAGCTCAAGAGAAGGTGGGGATGGAGGGGACTTGCCCGGAGCCGATAGGATGGCGATGCCAGACTCCAGCCCCTAACCACCACCTTGCAGTGCCTGCAAGAGTGGAGTCTGGTGTGTGCACCCAGGACTCATGTCCAGCCCCAGCTTGGGCATTGCCCTCCTGGGAAAGTCCTCGCCTCTCCTTGAGCCTCAGTTTCCCCATCTGTAAAATGGCCCATGTGGATGAGACTGAGGGCCCTGCCCTGCCGTGGCTCTGTGTCCGTGTCCCCGGTAGACTGAGAAGGGGTTCAGGGTGGTGTGGCCCCTGCACTGCTCTCTGGGGGCGTCCCTGGTGTCTGTGGGCAGGCTCTGGGGGACTCTCTCCGGAGGCTGCTGTAGCTCCCTCTCTCCGATCTCTGTCCCTGCCTTCAAATTGCCGCTCCTCTACATGCCCGTCCCAAAAGGACTGCAGAGAAGGCTAACAACCACTGCTCACTTCATCAGTTAAGCCGTGATCCCCTCGGCCTGGTATGCTCCTTTATTTATTTAAAATTTTTTTATTGATTTCAGAGAGGAAGGGAGAGGGAGAGGGAGATAGAAACATCAATGATAAGAGAGAATCACTGATCGGTTGCCTCCTGCACGCCCCACACTACGGGCCGAGCCCGCAACCCAGGCATGTGCCCTGAACGGGAATTGAACCATGACCTCCTGGTTCATAGGTCGATGCTCGACCACTGAACCACGCGGCCAGGCCTAGTTGCCTCTTCTTAAGGACCCGTCAGACTGGATCAGGGCCATCGTATGACCTCCTTTTACCTTAATCACCTCCTTAAAGACCCATCTCCACACACAGTTACATTTTGGAGTGCTGAGGGTGGGACTTCAACATGTGGATTTGATAGTGGGGGTGTGGGGGGCGCACAATTCAGCCCATCACGGTGATCACAAGTAAAGGCCCTGGGCCGAGAAGCCTCGGCTCTCACAGGGACAGGACCGAATAGCCTGGCCCTCTTTCCTGCTGAAGGATTTTCATGTTTGGTTCATTTCCGTATTTCTGGCCCCTGTAAGTAAGCTCCTACTCTGTGCCCAGCTGTGACCCAGATATTGGGAGAAGCTGCTAGAACAGCCCCCACAGAGCTTACACTCCCAGGTAGGGAGCCAGGCACAGCCAAGAAATATATAAATATAAAGCCAGGGCAACAGAAGTACCATGGGGAGGAGGGGACCGACATAAGGGGATGAAGAGGGACAGGGTGAACAGTAGGGGGCGCATTTTAACCGAGGCTGTAGGGAAAGGCCTCCCAGCACCTGTGTCACCTGAGCAAACTCCTACCAAAGTCAGGGCCTGAGTCCTGGCTCTGCCCCTCAGAGCTGGGTAACCTTGGGTAAGTGAAGGCACTTCTCTGGGCTGCAGTCTCCCCACCCCCACCCCCCACCCCAGGTACATGGTAGCCAATAGTCCCAGAGATGAAATGATAAGCATTCCTACGCAACGTATTCCGTAAATGTCAGCTGCCGCATCATCAAATTGGCACATGTAGTCCTCCACCGTGGCGGGCCCAGCTGGCTTCAGAGGCCATTTGGAGAGTGTGGGGAGTGGTTGT